CAGGTCTTGTAATTTTTAATTTGTTAAGTTCCATGGTGAAACAAATGGATCTTTATCATGAAGGTAATGTCTCTTGGACGGCAGTAATAGATTTACCTAAATGTACAATCTCAACTAGTCAAAGGGATATGTGGTCTGTGTTATTAATATTTCTAAAAACTATCATACAAGGACATCAAATAAGAGTCTGTAAAAGAAGAAATTTATTCCTTTATGCTGCAACTGGTCCAGCATTAGCAGCCTAGAAGAAAGCTTACTTTGCTCTTACAATCCCAACTTCTCTTCCTGGTTTAAGACATCACTCTTTACCCTCTACCCCATGCTGTATATTCATGGCCCAGGAACAGACGTCTTCTTATCAACATGCCTGAAGATACCTCTCCAATCCAATGCTCTCATCAATGCCCTTGCTAAGACAAAAATTTTATATGTAAACGCACACACACATGGATTCCTGAGTGCTCTTTTAAAAATCAATGTGACCATTTATGTGATAAAGAAAACTTGTATCTGTAATACCTCTTCTCCGGCCTGTGAGTCAAGAGATATGATTTCTAGATCCAGAACTTCCTTTTATTAACAAGTTCTGTGATCTCAAGCAAGTCACAACTTCTCTGAGTCTAGGTTTCAACACCTATCATTTCTAATTCTAGCAATAAGCCTATGATCTGCCCAGGATATATTTATTTTCGCACACACACACACACACACACACACACACAAGGAAGGTGCTGAACTGTAAATATACATTAGCATTTGTGCTTTTAAAAAAAGAGGGGAAGTGTATATACATACTTGCTTGTAACAGCATCTTAAGCATACAGAAAATTGGTTGCCTCAATGGAAGGGATCGGGGTAGAAGGGAAAGGTTGAGGGGAAAGATTTTCACTGCATGCTCTTGGGTATATTTTGAATTTTGAACCCTGACAATGTATTATAACCTACTTTAAACAAAACTGGATGTCTGCTATACAACCAGTTGAAATTCTTTCAACTTTCCTGTATGTTTGAAATTCTTCATAACAAAATGTTAAGGAAATTTTTTTTACAAATAAGTACAATTTAAAAATACATAACAGGCTGGTACAATGGCTAATGCCTATAATCCCAGCTTTGGGAGGCCGATGTAGGAGGATTGCTTGAGGCCAGGAGTTCGAGACCAGACGGGGCAACATAGTGAGACCTCCTCTCCACAAAATTTTTTAAAAATTAGCCAAGTGTGGCAGTGTCCATCTGTCCTCTTAGCTACTGAGGAGGCTGAGGCAGGAGGATTGTTTGAGCCTAGGAGATTGAGGCTGCAGTGAGCTATGATTGCACCACTGTACTCCAACCTGGGTGACAAAGCAAGACCCTGTATCTAAAAATCTATATATTAATAAAATAAAAAAAAATACACAACAAATAGTCTGATATCGTGATCCTCCTCACCAAAACCACAGGATAAAGAATTGCAGAGCTGGAGGAACCATCAAGATCACCTAGCCCAACTCTTTAGTTTTATAGGTGAAAAAACGGAGGCCTAGAGCAATAAGACGATTTATGGAAAGTCACACAGCTACTGTAAGAACTAAAAACCCGCTGTGATAAGGGATGGACTGAAATGAGGGAGACACAAGATGGGTAAAACCTGTTTCGAGAGTCTATACTTCCCCTCCCCAGTAACTCTGCCTTCTGCTCCCAAGTTTCTTCCCCACCCCAACCCATCCTAAAAAGTCTAAATTCATCTAAAGCATGGCTCTGCTCATGCCACCGGTCAAAAACTTTGAACGCTTTTCCGATACCTTTCAGATTAAAGCGCAGCCTGGATTTTGAAAACAGCCGCCTAAACGAATGGTCACTCAGCAGCCACAGCTCCGTTTGCTCAGCTTACCATTCGCGACTGGCCGCCTGGGTTGTTCTCTGCGCCGCAGATGGCCCGGCATGCCGCCCCCACACCTGCCCCGGTGGCCAGCCCACCTTTTCTCCCACGGCCCTCCCGAGCCAGCGTCTCCCTGGAACTTGGCTCGGCCCCCAGCGCAGGCGTGTGCTCGCAGGCGGGTACCTGGCCGGCTCCGCGCTCGGCCGTCCGCAGCGCCCAGGTGCCGGGTCCCGGACGCCTACCGCTGGGCTGCACTGCGCGCCGCGGGCCGCAGAGCTCCCTCCCGGCCAGGCTGGCTCCCCGCCGCCCCTCGCCCCAGCCTCACCCCGCAGTCATCACTACATTGTAGATGACCAGGTACGCCGTGGCCAGAGGCCCCGGGCCCTTCTTCTTCCGCGTGCCGCTGGCTTCGCCGGCCCCAGCCCGGCCACCGCCGCCCCCATTCCCCTTGGTTGCCGCAGTAGCCGCCGCTGCCGCCATATCAAGTGCCGGGAGCCCACTCTGCCTGCGCGAGCACCTCGGCCGGACTCGGCCAGGCGAGGGGGCGGAGGGAGGGACGAAGGAGAGGCGGGGCAGGGCCGCGGGGCGGAGCCGGGGACAGCGCCCACGGCGGCCGCCATCTTGGGTGAGGGCGCAGACGCTCCTGGCGTTGCGGTCCTTCGGCTCCTCTCAATAGCCGCTGCCATCTTGGATCAGGGTAATCCCCGCCTCTTGTGCGCTCGGGTAGCGACCTCCGGCGCCATCTTGAGTTGGGTCAATGTGCTGTTTGACCACGCTCGCCAGGCCCGGTGTTTCTGCCAGCTGGATGCTCCGTCGTCCCTGGCTATTCATTCTCCTATAACCACGGCCTCCATGTTGGATCAAAACAATTATGCTTTCGTACTTCCTTCTGCAATGGCCCTATCTTCACCTTTAAACACACCCACCCGAGTATCCTGCCATTTTGGATCAGGGCGATTGACGCCGACTTCGCTTCCCCGGTCCTTCGCAGGGTGGGCTTTGCTCGTTAGCCGTACCCAGGTTGGAGGTTCTTCTCTGCCTTTTGATTTTAAGGTACTGTTACAGTGGAGAAGCCCCTGTGGCCTAAAATGCAACGTCGTCCGTGAGTGCTGGACGGGTGTTCTAGTGCATCTTCCTTCCCGAAGCCGCTCGGGCTCGCCCGTCGCGTGGGCGGGACGGGAGATTAGATGAGGCGGTCAGCTGAGGGTGAGGTGCAGGGTAAGGGAGCAGATTTATATCCACGATGACCAAAAATAGCATGTTGGCTTAGGTGGAAAGCCTGTCTGCTGTGAGGGAATCCGCTGACCCCACTTTCCACTCATTGCTTTGTTCCAGGGTTTTCTTTATTTTTAAAAGTCTCCTACCGTCAATTTTCACACACCCAAGCATCTCCTTACATGAATACTGAAATATTTATGTGTTCATTCCAACAAGTATTCATGGAACGTGTACAAAGTTGCACTGGGATTCACGGCATTAAATGAAAGAGACAAAGTCCTAGGTCTCCCAGAGATTATACAGAGGGAGCCAGAGGAAAATGGGTATTGGTGGAACGTGATATTAGGAAGTTATTACAGTAATACAGACCATGGTTGATAGTGGTTTGAGCCAGAGTGGTAGCAATTGAGGTGATCAAAACCGATTGAATGCTGGACATATTTTAGAAGTAGAACCTCATAAGATTTGTGGATAAATTAGATATGAAGTGTGAGATAAAAGACATTGTGAGCAACTTGGAAGAACTAAGTTGTAAAAGAAGTAATTTTAAACGTGGAAGTCAGTAATTTTGTTTTTTACCTTTTTAGTTTGAAATCCTTGTTAGACATCCAAGTGGAGAGGTTGAATAGACAATTAGGTTTTAGGCTCTGAGGTTCAGGGAAGAAATGTGGGCTGGAGATATAAATTTGAGAGTCCTCAAAATGGTATTTAAAGCCATGAGACTTGGAGAGAAGTGAGAGATAGGAACTGAACAATTGTGGGAGCCCAAATTGCAGACTGTGATCAGAGAAAAACATTTTTTTTT